TACACACAAGAGCATATAAGGTATATAAGATATATAAATTTATTTCGATATGCAATCTGTATCTTATTTACACTTACATTTAATTTATAGTTTATACATTGTTTAGGAAAATGTATAAACTTTCATGATAAAATGAAATGAACAAAAGGAAATGCTCTGCTCTAAAGTTAGTTATTTGATACACAATTGTTATATACTCATCGGCAAGCATTAGCTGGAACAATATAGATTTTTGATATTCAGTTGCTTGTGATATACAATTTATCTTTATGTAATTATACATAATCAGCACTGTCTGTCCAAGATAAATTGTTCAGTCCGTGATCTGAAAGCGATATTGGCAAGATGTTCGTTTTGTCGACGTTATAAATTGAGACATTATTAAAGCAGTGTTGATGTACGAAATATTGATTGTGTGCGCGAGATAAAAGTGCTCTGTCTGTGATCAAAGTTCATAGTTGTTGTTTTTCATACGTATATAAATTATACAATATTCTTTGCAACAAATTACGCGCAACAAATAACCAGAAGAAATTGTGCCGAAATGAACAAATTTGCAGGCAATATTGTAAATTATTAGATATGAATATTTGCATGCGTTTTCTGTTTATTATTACAAGCTTTATCTTTTTTTTTTTGCACAGTTACATACGTTTCTACAAAATCGCACTTTGTACATTTACACACTTGACATATGATTATATATTAAGAATTAATGTAAAGAGTGTAGTAAAAAGACGTTGAAAAGTCATCGTACTCAAAAATTTTCGATGAATGTTCCGTCCAAGGTCCAGGTACTTTTATTTTATACACGTTTATAAAAGCTTTATTTAAGAAAAATAATAGTAAGAGAAAAAGTGCAATTCTCTAATCTATCGAACAATTTTATTAGATTAAGTAACATAGTAATGAACAGTGTTTTGATATAAAATATATTTTTACAATCACATACACCTCAGGTAATTTATTACTGTAACGTGCAGGAAATGTTATAAGGAATCATCTTATATCTAAGAACTACACTTTATTATTTGCCATATACCTGTAATAATGTAAATAAAAAAGTTGTTATAAATATAAAAAAATGTGATATTTGACTTTAACAATTTCATATAAATTTTATGATTTTATTGCTGTTTTACATCATATGTCATGCATAAATGTGTCCTTTCATAAAAGCATTGTCATAAACATTAGAAGAAAATTAAACGCAATGAAGAATGAAAAAACAGTAAAATATATATATATATATATATATATATATATATACACACACACACACACACACACACACACACACACACACACATCGATCCTTAGTTTACTGCGTCGGATCATTTTGTGAGCACTTAATATCCTGTTTAAAGATACAACAAAAGTGCATATTTACAGTTATGACTGCATATTTACATAACATCGATCGATAAGTAGCGCTCTCGTGTACTTAGCATGAAAAAGTCGGCAGTGAACGCTTGGATTATTTCAATATAAAAATGTAGCTTACATACATGTATATATACGGCATACAACTGTCGTATAATATTACTTTACAATTTTTCTCAAGCAGCGTCCCTGAATTGCACAAATGTATTCGCAAGGATGTAGCAATACATTATGCAAGTATAATCCACAAACGGGGAAGAAATAATTTGCTTCACACACATGTGAAGAATAAAAAAGGCATCCGTGTTGTTTTCCAAAATGTATTTACTTAAAAATACAATGAAAGTTTCAGTTTTGATGGAATGGGCAGAAATATATAGTCTGTGGTGTGTCGGTTACTTGTAATACGTTGAAAGAGATGATGCAAATGGTATCCTGTACAAAAGTAGCTTGAACAAGACTTATGAACACACAAACCAAATTCTTAGCCTAGGATTTTCGTTTATATTAAATCGTGTGACACACATGTCATTTACCAGATTTGATGTCTTAAACTTCTTTTCATGCTTACCTAACAAATGTAGGGGTGTAACGGTACGTGGGCAATCAGCCTGATTGATTGTAAGACCCGTTAGCACCAGTAAGTGAATTTTGTGAGTCGCGTCGAGTACTCGAGCGCGAAGAAGAGTACCGTATTCTGCCGAGCTTGACACAGTACAAAACGCAAGTCTTTCTTTTTTTTTTCAGAATGTGTTGCCAACGGGGCTTGGCATTGTATTTAATAAAATTAAATGGACCTATGCTTATAATATGTATAGTATAGTATACTATGAAACGCTAAAGTACTGATTTTGCTCAGGCACCTGTACTTTAAGATAGTTCTTTGCCAATTTGTTATCGTCAAGTTACTATCTTGAAGTAAACACGTGTAAATACAGCAGCGTATAAAATCGTAGATTAACAGAGACTGCCGGAGATGGTATGACCTGCACGCATCACAATGACATCGATCGGCTTTGTTGGACGCGTTACATACATGTTATGAGGAGTATTCGAATTTTTTTTTCTTTTGCACCATCGAATCGTCCGACGGTAAGAGATTTTTATCAACATTATACGAGTCCAACCTCCATCTCCTTGGTTTCCATACAGAGGGATTTTTAGTCCGTGTGGTTTTCGAGCAGCCTTTACCGCTCATCTCTCCTCATAGTTTTCAGATATTAAACTCATCACTACTTACGAGAACAAATTCATTTTCTCTGATCTAACTGCGTTTTATTTAACTATCTCATTCGAAAATATTTGTACATTAAAACGTGGGACATCTTCTCGCATTCAAATTATCGTTACCTTTATTTAATTATTATGCTGCTATGGTACAATGGTATAACCGCAATGTCTCTTCACCCTTTTATCTAACAGTCTCCCGAAAATAAGTAGCGACACGGACACGCCAATCGCAATGATTCGCCGACTCTTGCACAAAGAGAAATCTTTTCAGTTGTTGAACCAGCAAAACAACATCATCATTATCGTCAATGTCAACATTGTAGGTTACTAAAAATTTTTAAATACCATCATCAAATCTGATGGTGTATATCGTCATTAAGATATCGAAACGTGGACTATATATGTAGATATACGTGAAAAAGTGAGAATGAATAAATATCGCTAACTCATTTTACAACAGTCCAAGAATCATTGCCATGAAAATAGTCCACAATAAAGTCGAGATAAAATCATAATAAGATAAAAGTAACACTGAAACGCTCGAGTTACACTCAAATGAGAACATTTAAAAATAGGGAGAGTATTTAATACATAATTCACAATATGTAGTTTGAAATTCTTTTCTCTTTTATAATTTCGCGTCATGTACGGCAGTTCTGGAGTTTTGTATATGTGTTGTGTATATATGTGTGTGTGTGTGTGTGTGTGTGTGTGTGTGTGTGTGTGTGTGTGTGATACACACACACACATATGTATATATTTGTGTGTCGTGTCTGAAGATTTATCTATGTATATAATTGAACTCTTATCTTCTACAAAAATGATATAGTTGATTGAAATGAATAGAGAAGGGTGAGATAGGGCCCTTACACTTTACAAGTTGACTGTTCGATGCTCTCCCTTATCTATGCCCAAGCTTAAAGTGTAACAACTTCTCCGCATTATATTACGTTTACATAATATTATCATTAATAATAAAATGTTTCTTATCCCATAACTTTATACATGCTATGTATAATTATTATGCAATATTAAAGTCACATGTTATTCATCCATACTACTTGACGCGAGCGTTGCATTTACCTTAATTCCTGTCTCTATACCAAACAGGAGCACGAAGCGGTGTTACGTCTATTTTTAAGATTTCTCTCATTTTAGTATACATTGAATGACGAGAGATGTCCATTAATGCCTATTTACTTTATTTATTTGCCGTATATGTTACGTATGAATCGCTTAATTCTGCACAATAGCCTCGCGCTCCTGTGAAGACACTGCAATTACACATTTCTATTCGAGAAGAAGAACTCAACATATCACACGCACAAGGTGAGAGACATTCGTCGAACTACAAACGTAAATTTGATTTTAAATGTAAAAAAATCATCACCTTCAAATATCAATTTTACACTATTTAAATATAAGTTTTTTTTTATATCTTAAATAAGTTTTGTTATTAATTGTCCCGACGAAGAAAGCCAGATGACGGCAAATACCAGTTAGTAGGTGGTTCGGATAAAACGATAGATTCGTCTTGGGAATCGTGCACATAAACGATAGAACGATCGATCGCGATGGAAATAAGAATCTAGACAGCAAATAAGATCAAATCTTCATCGAATCCTCAGACGAATATACAGTTATCATTCAAACTACCCAATAGCATTTGGTGACGGCTAGACCAGAATTGCGAAAAGCCAAGACAAGTAGAGAATTGCATCTAATGCGTCAGCCCACCACAATTCTGGTGAGGTGGTAATTTTTACTTGTAGGTCGGAAGATAGAGAGGATCCAATAACACGGATTGGGCACGATGGATATCAACATTGTTACCAACCACTCAATATGAGAGTAAGTTTGCTGAGTTTGCCAAAAATCGACCATGATGTCGTCACGTGCCTAACGCCTCCCTTCTTAATTGCATAATGTTTTCCCTTTTTTCATTATGCGTCGTCTTCATCGTCTTCTACCTCACCTTCTACCTCACCTTCCGCGTCATCATCCTCTTCGTCTGTAATGGTAACAATAAACGTGTTTCAGAGTAGAAGCATTTTCATTTTAAAAATCCATCCAAAATCGAGATACAGTTGGATAAATCGCTTATATATATTTACCTTCTCCTTCTTCTAAATCT